ACAGGCTCTACAGAGGAGGGCTTTCGCTCCTTCCCCGGCCATATCACGTGTGTAAGACACCACAAAACAGAGCAGAATCTCTGTTCCAATAGGATTCCCTCCCTCTGCTTCTGATGAGGCTGTCTGCTGGGGTTATTGGCATTTGAACGAGTAGGTCTCTAAAGAGAGAAACGCCTGGCAGTGCACATGAATTTCATATCTTATGAAGTAGATATGCTTCTGCAGGAGTCCGTTCAGTTTTGCACTTTTCAGTCTAAAACTGAGTGCTTCCTGTCCCGTCACTGTTTGCCTTTTAGTTATTCGTGTCCACCCTGCACAGTCTCAGCTCTTTCGTGCTCATGTTAAACACTAGGTGTTCTGCCTAATGACTCCAACCTGGTTTCTCTCTGGGAAAAGCTATGGATTGCTGGTTCCTAAAGTTACAAGGGCTCTGAGATGACACAGGAAAATTATCATTCTTGACCAAGTTCAAAATTAAATATGTAAAGGACAAATTTCTTTGTTTTATTGCAGGTTGGAGGACTCTGCTGCTAGACCTCGGGGGTCTTTCTTATTCCTTTATTTTTCGAAAGAATGTTTTCAGCTCTCTTTGTTAGCTCTGAGCCTATATTATAGCTTTGATGCCAGAAAGAGGTAGAAGAAAACCATCTTGACACAGTACTACGAAAATACGAAGCAGCAAAAAATAAACCTATTCTTATGTTAACATCCATATTTAAAAATGACACATCTGTGTTCAACGGCTTGCCTTTGAGGCTAACCCCAGCCAGCTGGGACATAGGACAAACAGTGTAACATACTGCCATAGAAAACATGGGCTTCACTGTGGCCGTAATGACCACAAAAGGACAATTTGTCATGAATGTAAGTTGGAAGCAAGCAATCAGTCAACACAAAGAGGATATGGGACAAACTGTGTTCCATGAAAGGTAGCATTACTTCATATGTGCATGTATGTGTGCATGCATGTATCCATGCATATGAATGTAAGTGGAGTGTAGAGAACAATGAGTGTTAGTCCATCTTCATTTCTAAGATTTATTCTATGTGTGTTTTATGCCATGTATTTTAATGACATGAATTAAATTAATGAATTAATCCCATTCATTTCCCCATCCCTTTGCATTTATCCTCCACCCCTGGACACACCCAAAAAAAATAAAATTTAAGGGAAAACAAACCAAAAATAAAATTTAAAAATAGAAACACTTAAAAATCTCGTTTTTGAAGCTGCAATGTGACACAGTGAGTCACAGTGTCCATATATCTTTGCTTGCAAGTGTTCATTGCAAAGATTCTAACCCATTGTACACCACTAGAGTTCAGAGAAACCACCATCCCATGCCATGCAGTCAAACACACCAAACTAATTGGGCACTATAATGATCTCTTCATGATGAGGAGGCATGACCACCTTCATTTTTTGAGACAGGGTCTCTCATTCTCACGGAATTTGCTGATTATGCCCAGGGAGTCCCAGGAATCCATCTGTCTTCCTGCCCAGTAGTGATAGAATTTCAAACATATGTCAATGCCATACCCAACTTGTTACATGGGTTGTGCGGGTCAAACTCAAATTCTCATGTTTTCATGGCAAACACTTTACCAACTGAGCGATCTCCCTTGTCTGTTATTACACTTGTGTAACTATGTGTGTGGGTGGGGGGGAGAATGGGGTTACGATCAAAGGGTAACTTGGAAGTTAGCACTCTCCTTCTACCATGTGAGTCCAAGGGATTGAATTCAGACTTGACCTGCTTTGCCTGCTGAGATATCTCACTGACCTCATAGACTAGTTTGTTGAACTTACCAGATTCTTAGTAAAAAGAAAAAAATGTTATCTTAACAAGAGATGTTTACTAAATAATTTGATTATTTTAAGGCTTGCTTTGTCTTCTTTGTATTAGTGTTTTGTCTGTATGTGTGTGCCTGATACCCAAGAAAGTCAGAAGAGGGCATTGGATGCCCCAGAACTGGAGTTACAGGTGGTTGTCTGTTGCTATGTGGGTGCTGGGAATTGAACCCATAAAAGCAGCAAGGGCTCTTAACCACTGAGCTATCTCCATTTTTAAAAGAACAGTATCACCAGACAGTGGTGGCACAAGCCTTTAATCCCAGCTTTTGTGGAGCAGAGGCAGGCAGAGCTCTATGAATATGAATGAGTTCAAGGTCAGCCTGGTCTACAAAGTGAGTTCCAGGACAGCCATGGCAGTTAGAGAGAGAAACCGCCTCGAGAAACAACAAAAGCAATATCAGAGAAGGTGATGTTAAATTTCAACAGAAGAGATCTGAATCAAGCATAAAGCGGAGCTTTGTAACCAAATTTGTGGGAACTTTAAAGACAAGGATGAAGAGAAACACTAACCACGGGGAGGTGGGACTTAAAAATACTTCAAATCGACATGTGACACAAGCTGCGATTGATCATGAGAAACCCCAGAACGAAAATCGTTCCTTGAAAGCATTAGGATTCTGCAGTTTGTTCCCACTACATGTTTCCCCTCTGACAAAGCTCTTCCCAATTGTCACCTCCCCTAGAAAGAAGCCTTCCCTGCACTGACTCTAGCTGAGGTTCCTCCTGCCCTTTCTCTATCGCTCTGAACTGTGTACACACAGTAGCTAAGTTCTTTGGCTCATGATACAAAATTGGGTTTATCCTCTGTATTGGCCTCCCTATGGGAAATACAACTTCTGAGAGCAGGCCAGCTTGCATTATTGATCTTGGAGAAGCAAAAGTGTCTGGAGCATAGCGGGCACATTCCTCACTGTAGGGCTGAAGGACACGGGGACTAAGTGTGCAGAACATCTTCTTGGAACATATTTTGCACAGCCCGAGAAGTCACACAAGGTTCATTCTTCAGCACCCTTGCCCTTCTGTCGCAATTTCTTTTGCCCCTCTGATTTCTGCTGTTTTCCTAAAGATTACCAAATCTTCCCAGTTCCGAAGTTTTGTGTAAGCTCTGGCCTCCCGTATTTAGCTGTCTACTGAAGACTTCATAACAGCTCAGCCAGACCTCAAACTTTCAGCATATTCCCAAACCCTGGTGTCACAGATTCACCCTATCTGTGGCTCATCACTGTGGATCAGAAGTTCAGCCCTGAGTATCACCTCGGCTCCCCACTCCTCATTTTACTGCTGACTAGGAGGTCAATCTTTTCAGATGGCCAGCCCACTACTTTGTACTTGGATCTTTCTCTTTGTAGCTTCTGCTCATGCAGTTCATGGTCTCAATATATTTCTCCTGACCAACGTAATAGACTGCTAAGAGACTTCCCTCTTCCAGGCTTTCAAACCCAGCTTCCACTTAAACTGCAAATAATGCTCCTAAAACAATGTGTTTGTCTGTTCAAAGAAACAGTGGCAAACTCAACCGTACAGTTTCTCCTTCTACATCCATCCCATAGTCTTCTCTTTTCCCAAATATCCATCATCTTCTCCCACACCAGATACCACAAACACATACCTTTCATTCTTATCTACTCCATAGACCTGCTCTGTCCTCAAGGTCTTTTTTTTACAATGTTTAGAACATTTACTGAAGTACAAAAGTTGGAATCAGCTGAGTGGAAAGATATTTCCAAAACTCATTGATAACAATGTATTGTAAGTAACACATACAACATCAAAGAAAGGTCTCAGCATCCACAAAGTAAAACTATGTACGGAGACTTGCACTGGACCACACGTCATGATTGAACAATTTTGCCGCCTCCTTATAATCTCATGTTCGAAAAGCATCATATGAAAGTCAGGATGCCATGTAACTGGCCTTTCTTCTCTCTGCTGCTTGTGCTGCGGCCATGGAGACACAGTCAAGACGACTTTCTATAGCTTCTGATAATGTTCAAAGGAGTGTAAGTAATTTCTCATGGCTTAAAAATGCAAATCATAGGTTGAACACCATTATCTACACTAGAATTGTTCAGTTCTATGTGGTAGAATTCTACCTACACAACTTTTGGATTCCACACAATTAGGCATAACAGAACTTAATATACTAAGCTAAAGTTAGTATGCTTTCAAAAGTGCCCCTCCGCCTCTTTTCCTATCTCCACTTGATATGAGGTAGCTTGTTTCTTGCCTCAAGGTCTTGATTGACCCAGGTTATTCTACCAGGATGGTCCTCCATTCTGTCAACTTCTTTCTCCACCTCTCTTAAGTCTCCCATTCAGACTTGCGGGCCAGCAGTTTTGAAATGCTTGGATATTTCTTTCCCAAAATCTTCCCATGTCCTTCCCCACAACTCACCCAACTTCATATTCTCTCTCTCAAAAGAAAAAAATGCTAGTCCAATTTTCTTGGCCACCCATCCCTAAAATGTAAGGCCTGCCATGGAGTGTAGTGGAGATAGTGTCATTCTGGGGGGGGGAGCGGGGGGGGGGGAGGACAGATTCTCCAGCTCCTAGAAGCTATCAGGTACAAACATGTTTCCTGAGTAGGGGTAGGACTTTGTACCAACTCTCCCTTCTCTGTGGTAGAATGTCTTCTAGCTTGTGCAGAACTTGTGTGTTACACTCTGAGTTCACACATATATCAACCCTGTCATATCTGGAAAATGCTGTTTCCTTGGGGTCATCCACCAGCTGTGGTTCTTACAATATTCCCATACCCTCTTCTGCATATATCTCTGACATCCTTGGCGGGGGGGGGGGGGGGGGGGGGTTTGCAGTCATCTCATTTAGGACTGAGCGCTCCAAAGTCTCACTCTGTACATTGTCCAGTTGTGGGTCTCTGTTAGTTCCCATCCACTGAAAGAAGCAGCTTCTCTGATGGAGGCAGAGTAATGCCAACATCTACGGGCATAGCAATATGCCATTAGGAGTTACTTTGCCACTATATTCCTTTAGCAGGATAATGGTGCTAGCAGTCATTCATAAACTGCAGTTTACAGAATCCCCAAGGAGCCCAGAGAGAAAATTAGACTCATGAACTTAGGTGAGGAAAAAAAAAAAGTACATGTTGATTTTCACGACCTTCTGACAGAAATATATTTCAACATTTTATTATGAGCGTCGGTAACAAACTACAAAGATATTAAACATGTGTATGACTTTGTAACATCTGGAACCACAGACACAACCTTTCTACACTAAACTACAGCCTTGCATTATCATTTATAGTCATCACTTCAAAAGTACAATTATTGCAGCTCCGGACCTGTGGGGTGTTTGTTCCCTGCTCTGGTGTCCCAAAGGTCCCACTGGTCCCATTGCCATGATAAACGCCAGCGGAGCCTTGGCTGCGCGTCTCGTGGGCGCCGCAGCCTCTTGGAGTCCAGCGGCCTCCCGTCACCAGGACAGCTGGAGTGGCCTTAGTCTCGAGTTGTTTCAGGAAGGCAATTAAGGGTGCAGTTGTGGGTAACTCCTGTGTAGCAGCTACGGAAGGCAAACAAGCAAAGTTCCTCAAGAACAATCAAGGTGCTAGAACTATGCCTTCTGTTGTGACCTTTACAAATGGAGAAAAACTTTTTGGTGCACCAGCAAAGCAACAGGCTGTCAACCCAAGCACCACCTTCTGTGCTACTAAGCGTCAGACTGAATGTTGTTATGACTACCCCCAAGTATACAGAAAGATGCTAAGACTCTTCCCTTTAAAACGGTCCGTGCTTCTTAATGGTGATGCCTGGGCTGGGGCTCATGGGAAACTCTTGTCCTAGTCAGATTGAAGCCTTGGTATTGATGAAGATGAAGCAGGCTGTGGAAAAGTACTTGGGTCACACAGAAAAAAAAAATGCTGTGATCCTGCTTAATTCAATGAGTCAGAGCAACGGCCACTAAGAATGCTGGCTAGCTGGGCTAAATGTACTTCGAGTAATCGGTGAACCTCAGCCCTGGCCTATAGTCTGAACAAATCTGAAGAAAAAAGTGTATGAGTTAGGTGGTTGAACCTTTGCTATTTCTATCCTGAAAATTCAGGAAGGAGGGCTTGATGTGAAATCCAATGGGGATGCTTTCTTAGGCGGTGAAGACTTTGACCAGGCATTGTGATGCCACATTATCGAGGAGATCAAGAGGAAGATGGGTTGATTTACCACAGACAACGCAGCACTTCAAAGGGGTTCAGGAAGCTGCTAAGAAGGCTAAGCGTAAACTCATCTGTGCAGACTGATAACTCACCATTTCTTACAGTGGATGCTTTTGGACCCAAACATTTAAATATGAAGCTAACCCAAGCTCAGTTTGAAGGCTTGCTTTCCAAGCAACCTCTTGGTTGACCTGTATTTTTGATGATTGTTCTTTTCATCCATTCTGGATTTTTTAAAAGATAAAAAAAAATCCTAAAAGCAAAAAAAAAATTATAATTCTTAGAATTTTTAAAATACAGAAGTATACTTATCACTATATAACTTTAACTGGTATGTTTCCATTATGACCTTTTATTATTTTATTCACTTAAATGATTCTAAGAGGTCAATGGACAATAAAGTTGAAGGTGTCTGTCTAGCTTTATTTTTACCTCAAGGTGGTTTCCCAGATCACCTTACATGCCCACCACACAGAATACATATCTCCTTCTACCCTGAACCATCAAACCAGTTGAAACTTTTCCAGAGGCCCTCACCACTCTGCTTTTCGTCTCTACATATTCTTTAGTCATTTACGGGGCCTTAGGACCATCCTCTCTATTTTTAAGTCCCCTGTAGTGCCAAGTTCCATGGTAGGTGATGAACCTGAGTTGTGCTGGACACATCCCTTTTTCAAGAAACATTTGAAGCTGTTGGCATTCAAATTGAGAAAACTGATGTGTTGCTGGTATAGTCTGGTCAGCCAAGCGACCTTGTAAACTTGTACAATGTTGCTGGTGTAGATCTGGTCATTGAAGTGACCTTGTGAACTTGTACAAACTGAACTGTACTGTTCTCATCTGATTTCTGTCTCAAACCAACACGAGAAAACATGGACAAGGACAGAAAACAGGACTCAAAGTCTCTTTAGTGCAATGAATCATACACATTTGTTTATGTATATATTCGTATATGCATGTTGTATTATAATACACACAATATACGGGATTTTTTATAGTTCCTTCACACAAATAGTGTTCAAAATCCAGATCATTTAAACTACTAATAAAACATTTGGAATATTTACCATTAAACAACTATCTATGCTTCAGGGTCCAAAAATATCTGTGGAACAATGACTTTTATTGCTATTTGCTGTTGCGTAGCATAAGGTCTTTGTGTGGGAATATAGACTAGTTCCTCCCAATGAAGGCATTTAATGTTCAGTGATACCCAAGTCCATCACCTTAACGGTGCAGTGTGAAGAAATAATGTACCATAACAGTCATGGGACACTCATCTCTGAGTAATTAACCGAGACTGATAGAAATATTAGATAAACACCTTTTTGGCAAGTTGTAAATAATCCTTTTTTAAAAAAAATACAGTAAAAGAACCCAACTTAATCAAAATTCAATTATAAATATATATATAAAAACAAGTAATTGAAATTTGGTATTTGAATTTATCCCTAACAGCCTAAGATATAATAAATCCTCCCCAAACATCTGCTAGGAATATCCCTCTGCATGCTAAGGTTTTAAAATTTATAGTTTTCAGCAATTTGTGCAAACTCCTGGCTCTTTTAGTTGTGGTGACCCTGTACTGCAGTTAATTATTTTAATGACAGATAAGGGAACTACTGTATTAATAATAATAAACATCCATGTACATAATGTTGTAAGTCTCAATGTTTAAACTGCCAATATTTTCTAGTAATTCCCTCTAAAAACACTGAGGAAGACAGGACAGCTTTAATACCAAATATATAAGCAAAGGAAGCAGGTCTCATGGATGTAAAGCAGTTTGCTCAGGTTTCCAAAGCCAAGGAATAACACAAAGCACAGAGTCATGTCAGCCATGTGCAATGTGTTCCTGTTTCACCCAGGGAAGCACCAGAGATCAAATCTCTGTTTTATCAATTACTGTGACTATGGGAATGACAGCCCAGATGTGCAGGACACTCTTTAATCATTTGCTCATTAATTTACCATATCTTATATTTGTCAAAATAAAAGTCAGATGTCTGGGCCTCTTTAGTGCTAGAGGAAGCAAATTTCACATTTGGAGATATTGCTCTGACTTATATTCCAAGAAGCAGACAAGCGATAGCTCACAGAACAAGACTCAGTAGCCCAGCTCATGACACAAGCAGTCTTGTCACTTGGGACGCACAACACATCCTAAGGCATAGGACTTACAGCATAAGACACCTTGTAGACCCAAAGTCTCATTGGGAGAATAGTGATGGGTGATCCTGGATGTATGGCTTGAATCTAAAGATACCCCCAAAAGCTCATGTGTGGAAGTCTTGATGTCCAATGCAGGGGGATTGTGAGGTGAAGCATTTGGGAAATGGTTAGCTTGTGAGGCCAGCCTCACGAATGGATTAACTGAGTAATAGAAACAGTATTTGGTGTGGGGTTGGGAGACAGACACTTTAGGGAGTGAGGCACTGGGAGTAAGTCACTGGAGACTGAACAGTAAGGTTGCCATTGAAGGACATGTTTTGTCTACAGCCCCTTCCTCTCTCCCTGTCCCTGCTTCCTGGCTGCCATGAGGTAAAAAATAGTTTTTTCTATCACATACTCCCTGCCGTGATGGCTTGCCTCACCATGGACCCAGAGAAAAAGCCAGAAGACATGGACTGAAACTAGGAGGCAAAAAATCACCATCCTCTATAGCATAAAGATAAAAGCCCAGAGACAGACATTGGGGTTCAACCTAAAGATCAAAAAAGCAAAGCATCCAACCACTAGAGAGACCTTTTACCTCTAACAAATCTTCAGACAAAAAGATCAAGATTCCTGTCTCCATGAATCCTCAGACTCCACACCACACCGAACTCCTGTCTCTTCCCTTTATATTCCTCTCTCCGTCCAGCCATACCACTCCTGTCTCCACCTCCCTAGTGCTGGGAGTAAGGCATGGGATCACCTTGGTGTGAGTTCTGGTTTCTCAGACAGATTCAATCTTGTGTAGACCAGACTGGCCTCGAACTCAAGAGACCCATCTGCCTCGGTCTCCCGAGTCCTGGGATTAAAGGTGTGTGCCATCCCTCACTGGCCCCTTCGATCTTCAGGAAAGCTTTATTTATTAGAACAAATAATATACCACTATAATCCTCCTTGAAGTTGAGCCTCTCAGCATTCTGCCAGTGACAGAAAGCTATACTGTGGGCTGCAGTAGGCTGGAGGTCCCAACACAGAAACAGGCGGTGCTAACAGGGTTGCCGCTGCAGCTGGATACTGCCCAGCCTCATGGTCAGTATATATAGCAACGGGGCTTTGCTTCTTTCACTGACCTACCCGAGAAGTCTCATCTGGAAAAGGATTCCACCAAAAGTTTTAAGACTTCCAGGAAAGTGGATCTGAGCATCTCAGGCAGTGCACTCTGGGAGATATTTTAGGAGCTCCTGTCACCCCTTCACTTCAGGCCTATAGACACGTTCTCCAGATGCCAGGCACTCACATCTTAGCTTGTCTCTCTGGATACTGCCCTCAGTGAAGGGACGCCATCTCTTTCGATGCCATGCTCCCTTCCAAGGGCACTGTGCATGAAGGATTTGTAGATAACAAGGTGGCAAAGGTTTACTGCCCTTGACCAGGGCTGCTTCGGCTCCAGAGCTCCTGAGGACCTGGAGTGTCTCCCTTGTGACTAATAACAGAGCTCCTCTGCCCCATCTGTATTCTTCTCTCCCTTCCAGTTGTTGATCCAGGAATAGTCTCCAGCAAACCTTCTGCATGCTAAACTCAGAATTTTCTTCCCAGGGATTCGGACCTGTAACAGCTGTACTTAGAGTCAGCAATCTTTCCTTGATACACTCTCTAACAACAGCGGGCTTTATCACATGAGATTTGAGGACAGTTTTGAAAAGCAAAATTCACATAGCTGCCTTGGTGTTCAGCCCACAATTTAAGAATTTAAACTTCGCAGTTGTCTTTGAAAAGTTCGGCGTAAAGGTCACTAGGCCACATCAATAGCTGAACTCTTTAAGCAACTGTTTCCTTACTTTATGAACTTATTTTTTCCTGTTCTAAGAAAACATTGTCACCTTTTTACACCCCTCTCCTTTCATAAAGCCATCACCTATTCTTCCATGCAGGCTTTTCTCTTTCTACTGATAAGCCTTCACTATAAATTCTGTAAGAATTTTGCTCATTGACAATCATCAAGCCTTCTACGTTGATATAGAAAGAAGCCAGACCAGGAATGGAGATCTAGTTCTAGCTTTGTTTCTGTGACTGTGTAATTTGTAATTTTGTTCACTTATTTACTTTTAAAAAACAAAAGACTATGTAGTACTTACAGTGTTTCAGAAATCGCACTTAGCGTTGAGTATAAAACATGAACAAGACAAACATCCGCCCTTGTGCAGCTTAAAGCCTACTACAAAACCAACATTGCATCAGTGACAGGAAATTCTTTGAGCGGCAGGTTTTCTGAAGCAGCCGTCAGGGTGCTCTGAACATGTGTAACAGATAACCTTAACATTGTCTGGGATGCCTGTGGTGCTTCGACGATCTGGCAATTAAGTGCAGCTTAGGGGACGGAGACATAGCTCCCACACCCAGTTCCCAGCCCCACACAAACTGACCTCTGCAGCAAGGCATGTGATCTCAGCACTTGGAGGTGAGGGGAAGACAAATCTGAACTACATGGAGTTCAAGACAGCCTAGGCAATGGTGGACTCTATCTCAAAAGTAAGTGAAATGACAGAATTGGCAAGGTGGGAGAGGAAGAAAAGATTCAGAGACAGAAAAACTTCATACTTTAAAAGTCTACAAAAGGAGGATGCTACCTCACCACATTTGCGGGGCTGGGTAAAGGCTACACGGCAAGAGCAATGGCGGATGAGAGGGAGGGAAGCCACTCACACGGTGTCATGTGAATCAGAGTGATGGTTTCAAGCATCACACTTAGTGCAACGAGAAAAGACATTTAGGGTTTCAGGCAGGTGAAAGCATGGTCTGGCTCCTCCCACTCCAAAATGACGACATTATCACCCATCTGTTTACTGTAACACCCACGAAAAAAATAAGATAATGACCATGAGTGTGCTTAGAAAATATGACATGCACAACCCCATTTCAGGAGGTCGATTAACTTTGGTTCACTACCCAAATAAAACTGATTATAGAATTCATTGCCTGACCAAATAAAATAAAACTTCTTAAACAGTGCCGTCATGTGGCAGGTGGATGCCTTCTCGAAATGCTACCACTGTCCCTGTGCTTTTTCCTTTTGCTCAAGTCCAGAGGCAACTGCTGCATGATTGCAATCACTGTCCTGTATATTCCCAGCAAGTCTTTGGGAGAGACAAGTGCCGCTGCCCACCGCAGTGTAGATCACAGCAGTGGGCAATCTCCTTTTCAGCCACCACACAATACTGAAGAGTATCACAGCAGGCACTTCCATGATACCCTGACAAAAGGTTTTCTAGGGCACAGGGGAAAAGACTTCTACAGAAGTAGGTTTAGATTTGAGCAAAGCAAAAAGAAATATGGAAATGAAGACGTGTGTTTTGAGGATGGGTGTGCAGCCAGGTTTCACAGAATAGAACCCCTCAATGCAAATGTCCTTTAAATTAACTTTTAGCCAGTGATCTAGCATCCAGGGGATAGTCTTATTTTTCTTTTAATTCTATATTGTAGGCTAAGAGCCATTTTAAAATTTAAATCTTGTTTTAAATCCTAATTCTTTTATGTGTGTTGGCTTTATAACAATGGATAGAGAAAATGCAAAGATAAAAGTTACAATGGTTCATGTCCTACTTAGCAACAATGCTTCTCTCAATCACTTCAGTACATACACATGAAATATGCACTACCCATTGCACATATCTGTAGACATTATTGGTGTTAAACACACCACTTGAAAATATTATGGAAATGGATTTAGGGTAGGTTTTCTTTTCTTTGAAACTTTGGTATAAAATCCACTTTAAAAGATTGGGGGACTTACCTTCACACAGAACACTTACTGAAACATGCATTTTTAGTGCCGGGGCCGAGCAGACAGCTTCGATTAAGAAAGCTAGGGGATATTTCATTTGATTGCTCTAAAAGATGAAAAGGGAAGAACGGCAGAGGATGAAACAATTTCAGGTACTTTCAATGCATTTATCAAATAAGAATGAACTGCTTTTGACTGCACATATAATGGCTCGGGAGGCGTTCACTCAACCAAAAGGCAAGGACTTCTTTTCCACTGTGACAAATCTAACTTAATGAAATTATATTTTTTTCAAAAAAAAAACCTAAACATACGAGACATAAGAAAAGGGAGAGGGCAGAAAGGAAAGCAATGGCTAGTGTATTTCAGGAGAAGACAATAGGCACAATTTTGAACTGATTAATGTTAGAATTTCTGCCTGACCTTGAATTTGACAAAACTCAATATAAAGGCCAATCTTATAAAAGGACTTCAATTATAAGAGGTTATCTAAAGCACGCGTAAGCTGGTTCTCAAGATGAAATACTAACTGAGGTTTGTATTTATTTCTCAAACAACCATGTTAACCTTGCTATTTACACGGCCAATGACATCTTCCAAGACTGGGGACTCCCTGCGCTATAAATCCCCACCAGATAAGCAGCTCATTCCTTGTTTGTCAAAGTGTGGTAGGAAGTTGTACCAAGAAAATAATACATAAATGAATCAAACACAGTACTGTATATTACAAAAATAAAATCTATAGAGCACGTGCCATATACTCTGTGTGAATCCTTCATCCATTCTGTACAAATGGGTGTCCCAATGACCAATACTCAACACCTGTGAGAGTGGGCTTGAGAGATTATCACAAGTAATCACCCGCACGTGTTTTCTACTTTGTAAACCTCTTTCTTTAGTGTTCTCTCCATTGACCTTGTCCTAAGAAACAGGCTGGGCATGTGAAACCAGCATGGTTAACCTTATGCAAGATTGTGTGGCAAATTCGAGAGGCAAAGTCAGAACCCACCCAGAGGCAATTTGTTTTCTGGGGAAACTGAAATACTTCTCTGAATATTATTGTTTGTCCCTACAGACATGAGATAGAGGACATTACTACAACAACAACATTCATAAACTCTTAGTTGGTTTAGTAAATTGTTGTAGGATAGTTTTCTCTTTTGGGTTTTTGAGGGGGCTCACCACCCAGCTCCCAAATAAATCACACACAGGGGCTTATTCTTAGTTATGAATGCCCAGTTTTAGCTCGACATGTTTCTGGTCAGCTTTCCTTAACCTGTGTTACCCCGACTACCTTTTGCCTCTGAGCTTTTTTATCTATGTCCGTATTTCTTACTTTCATTCCTTTTCCGTGGCTTGCCATATAGCTGGGTGGCCGGCTCCTCCTCCCCTTGTTCACCAGTTGCTCCTTGTTCTCCCTTAGTCTCAGGTCTCCTTTTTATCCTCTCTGCCTAGCAGCCCCGCCTATCCTTGCTCCTGTCTCGCTATTGGCTGTTCATCTCTTTATTAGGCCCATCAGGTGTTTTACACAGGCACAGTAACACAGCTCCACAGTGTTAAACAAATGCAGCGTAAACAAAAGTTACACACCTGAAAATAATATTCCCCCAGAGTAAGTAAGCAGAAAACCGCTATTTCCATCCTCCAAAAGAACTTCCACAGGTTTAGGATTTTCATCAAGCAATATTTCCGTTTTTTGTATAGGAAACTTTTCTTATCCAACACACCGTAGTGATTTGAAAATGAACTGGTCCCCTTGGACTCATGCATTTAAACACCTGGTTCCCAACTTGGGGTTCTGTTTTGGAAGACTGTAGAACCTTATGAGTAGGGGAAATGTTGATGGAAAGAGGAGATTCTTCTGGTGGACCTTGCTGGTTTAGAACCCAGTCCCACTTCTGTCCACTCTCTGCTACTTAACCACCTACTTCCCTCACTAACCTAACTGCAAATATGTAACCTTGCACCTCATCTCAGCATCAGCCCTTCTCTGCCATGAAGGCCTGTGTCTCTTCTTAAATCCTAAGCCCAAACAACTCTTCCTCCCTCGAGTTGTTTAGTGATGGATATTCAGCGACACCAATGAGAAAAGCCATTAATAGAAGTAAGCATCGAGGCCAGTGTTAAGTCATTAACTGAAGAAGTCAGTGAAAGCCTAGCATTGTTAAAATATAATAGATGCCTTAAGTTGTTTGTTTTAAGTATGGAAAGAAATTACTGTGATTAACCTAAATGTATGTCATCTCTCAACCTCAGCTATACCTTATCATATACATTTTCCAACATTGATACGTTAAATTTGAAGCTAAAACTCAGTAATAATGAAATTGCCTCCTGGGAATTTTTCTAGAGCCAGGTTTCTTGCTAATCTCAAAATGGCTCCCTCAATCAAGATATCTCTTTCCTTACTCTCATATCTGTCCTTCCTCCATCTCAACTATCCCACTCTCTCAAGCTCTCCCCAACCCTCCCCTTCTCCCTTCCTCCTCTTCTTACCCTTCTCCCCTTCCTTCTACCCCCCTGCCCCCATGTGACACCAGCTAAGACCCTAAGCAATAGAGAGGGTGCCTGAACTGGCCTTGCCCTGTAGTCAGACTGATGATTATCTTAAATATCACCACAGAACCTTCGTTCAACAACAGATGGAAGTGGAGACAGAGACCCACATTGAAGCACTGGACTGAGCTCCCAAGGTCCAGTTGAAGAGCAGAAGGAGGGAGAGTATGAGTAAGAAGTCAAGACCATGAGGGGTTCACCCACCAAGACAATGTGCCTGAGCTAATGGAAGCTCACCAACTCCAACTGGACTGGGAATGAAGGAGCGTGGGACCAAACTAGTCCCTCTGAAGATGGTTGACAGTTGGGGCAGACTGAGGGGTCAATGACAATAGCACTGGGATTTGTCTCTACTGCTTTTTGGGATCCTATTCTCTTTGTATGTATACCTTGCTCAACCTGGATATAAAAGGGAGGGCCTTGGACTTTCCACAGGGCAGGGTGCCTTGCCCTCTCAAGATTGGAGTGAGAGGAGGATGTGTGGAGGGAATAGAAGGAAGTGGGAGGAGGGGAGAAGTGGGAAATTGGATTGGTATTTTTTTAAAGTAATAAACTAAAATAAATTGCCTCAACTTGGGGTGGGAAGATAGCTCGGTGGGTATCTTGTTCTCTGATCTGTACTATGCATTGGCAACGTGTGCACAAGCACAGATGCCCTACACTGTACTTCTCTCTTGGTCTGGGAAGGATAGCACAGAGCATGGGCTTTGGAATTAGATTTGCCACTAAATTTTTGTACTCTACCTTTTATAGCCCTTGAACTCGGGCTTTATTAAAAACAAGTGTGTAAATATTTAATGTTTGAGTTCAAATGCCCAAAATTCACAGAAAGCCAGACACAGTAGCACACACCTGCAATCCTAATGGTCCTATAGGGGGAGAGGAGGCAGAGACTGGAAGAGTCTAAGAACTTGAAAGCCAGTTAGCTTAGTGTCTTAGGGTTACTATTGCTGTGATGGAACACCACGGCCAAAGCAACTTGGGGGGAAAGGGGTCTGTTAGACCTACATTTCCTCATCACTGTTCGTCAATGAAGGAAATTGGGACTCTATAAGCAGGAGCTGATGCACTGGCCACACTAGAGTGCTGTTTCCTGCATTATTCCTCATGGTTTATGCAACCTGTTTTCTTATAGGCACCAGGGCCACTAACCCAGGGGTAACCACACCCTGAAAAGACTGGCCCTCCCTCACTAATTAAAAAAAAATCCTACAAGCTTGTCTTCTGGAGGGATTTTCTCAATCGAGGGTGCCTCCGCTCAGGTGACTGTAGCTTGTGTCAAGTTGACATAAAATTGGACAGCACAATTGACCCCTTGTCAACTTGACACATAAACACATCAGGATTAAGCCACAATCTTTCCTTTCCTGTTCGTTCCCAAGATTACACACTAATACTGACATCACAATATAAAACATTGTGCAAACTTTAAAACCCTCATATTCTCACAGATTCAAACACTAACAATTTGGTCTTTAAAAATTCAAAGTCTCTGAACTGGGGGCTCCTATAAAATAAAAAATTGTTGGGACCATTTTGGAGTCCTGGCCTCCAGCTGCTCTTCCCTACTAGAGATCTTTACTTTCCTTCTGATCTGAGTTACTCAAAGCTGTGTCAAAGTTGTTTACCAGCTCTGCTTCACAGGCACATGTTGCCTTGCCTTGAGGATCAGAGGAAGAGATTTTCACCTGTTGGCCCACCTGACTGTTGTGTCTATAAGCCTCCATGGAGCTATTGAATAAAGGGGCTTCTTACCAGTGACTAGAGGTCCGTGTGTCTTTGTGTATTTCAATCTCCAGCCCCTTGCCCGAAGCTCGTGAACTGTATGGTAGCGCATAGAACACAGACAGGCATTGTGGGCTGCAAAAAATAGGTTAAATGCTTTCTTATTTCAAGAGGAAAGAACCAGGGCATGGTCACAATCAAAGCAAAACAAAATTCCAATAGTATAAGTAACTCACTGTCCAGTTACCTGGGATTTTCTCACAGTCTTAGTGTTCTGGGCTCTTCCAAAGAACTTGGGTCACTTCTCTGGCTCTGCCCTCTACTGTACACACATCTTACAGTCTAGGCTCTGGGTGGCTCCACTCTACAGCTGTTGTTGTTCTTGATCATGAATCTGACTTCTCCAAAATACTGGGGTCTTCTATTGCAACTGGGCTATACTTTCACCAGTAACCTTTCCTGGGCTCTATTCAGGGGCTCCACACCTCCGACACAGTACCAAGCCTCAGCTGCTCTCCGTGACCCCTTCATACTTTCAAAACCAGCACCACCTGAGTGACTCTTACACCTCCAAGATGGGCTGCCAGCACAAGGTACAACCTTGGTCACCTCTGGAACACAGTTTCTGGTTGCTGCTTCTTCTCAGGAAAGACCTTCCCGATGATCTCACCTTAGTGATGCTGGTCTCAATCACTGCTGATTTCTCAGCCCTAACTAAACAGCATCAGTTGTCCTGGTAAAGCTAAGGTTTCACTTTAACGGTGTTGGTCTCTTGTCAATCACAGCTAACTCTCAGCCCCAGTTGGCCAGAATCACAGGCTCTTAATTCAAAATATCACATGGCCCTGATAGTCTTTTAGTTTTCCTCTGAAACTTCATAGGCCAGGACTCTCCGTTATCTGTTCTGTTCTCAACATGATCTTTCAAGCTCCTACAGAACAGCCCACTGAGCTCTCAATACTCAATGGCTTTTCTATCTCAACTTCCCAAAGTCTTCCGAAAAACACATGGTCAGGTCTGGCTCAGCAATACACCACTATCCTGGTATCATTCTCTTAGAGTAGCAACTGCTGCGATGGAACACCACGACCAAAGCCATTTGAAGAGGACAGGGCTTATTCGGCTCACACTTCCTCTTCATTCTTTATCATGGAAGGAAGTCAGACAGGAAGTCAAACAGGGCAGAAACCTGGAGGCAGGAGCTGATGCAGAGGACACGAAGGACTGTTGCTTACTGGATTGCTCTTGGTGGCTGCTCAGCCTGCTTTCTTATAAACCCAGACCCACTAGCCCAGAGATGGCACCACCGGCAATGGACTGAGCCCTCCCAGCAAATTAAGAAAACACCCTACAGGCTCGTTTGTTGAAAGTTCAATGTTCTGAAGGCATTGTCTTGTTTTGGGGGGTTTTTTCTTTGTGTGTGTGTGTGTGTGTGTGTGTGTGTGTGTGTGTGTATGTGCATGTGTATTTTGAGACAGGGATTCTCTATAGTTCTGGAGCCTGTCCTGGAACTAGCTCCTGTAGACCAGGCTAGCCTTGAACTCACAGAGATCTACCCACCACTGCCTCCCGAGTGCTGGGATTAAAGGCCTGTGCCACCACCACCGAGCTGGAGGCATTGTCTTAACTGAGGCTCCCTTGTACCCAAATAGCATTCAGCTTGTGTCATGTTGACATAAAACTAGCCAGCACACCTGGAATACACTGATGCAACAAATATTAAAGCAACAAACAAACCTTGTCTGAAACAAGATGGACGGCAAGTACTGACATAGCACTTGTTCTGTCTTAGTTACTTTTCTACTGCTGTGACGAAACACCATGGCTAAGGTAAGTTATAGAAGCAAGAGTTTACTGAAAGCTTACAGTTTCAGAGGGTGAGTTCACTACAAAAGCCTGGTGTGGTGGCGCACATCTATAATCCCAGCACTCCAAGGATGTAGACAAGAAGTTCAAAGTCATCCTCAGCTATAGAGGAAATCCAGGGCTAGCCTAGGCTAGAGACCACTCTCAGAACAAAAAAAAAAGTGTTTACACAATAATGCCACATAAATAAATTGCTAAAGTACAAATACCATATAATGTTATGTACATATAACATATGCAATAAACTGAACACACACAAATGCTGTTTGGTATCAAAGTATTTCCCCTGAGAACTGTATTAACAACAGCAAAACATTATAGCAGACAGACCTTCCTGATTACAACGAATATTATCTATGAACTCTTACATGGATGTCCTAGCTTGCCTTTTGTTGTTATGATAAAATGTTGACCAAAATCAAATTGGCAAGGAAAGGGTTTCTAAGCTTATAAAGTTTAGCCTATCACTGAGGGGAGCTAAGGCAAAGAATCCATTACAGAAGCTTAAAGCAGAACCTAGCAGTGGGAGGCTGCTTACTGACTCATTCCTCTGATTTGACCTTCCTTGACCTTCCACCTTTTCTTTTCTTTTTTCTTTTTTTTTCTTTTTTGTTTCTTTTATTTGTTTTGTTTGTTTTTTGTTTTGTTTTGTTTTTTTGTTTTTGGAAATAAAGTTTCTCTGTGTAGCTTTGGAGCCTGTCCTAGAACTTGCTCTGGAGACCAAGCTGGCCTCAAACTCACAGAGATCCAGCCTCTGCCTCCCAAGTGCTGGATCTAAAGTGCTACTATCATGCCCAGCCCTGCTGCCTTTCTTAGGTAGCTCAGGTCCAACTGCCTGCCCAGGTATGGCGCTATCCACAAAAGGCTGGGCCCTCCTACATCAATTAGCAGTGAAGAACCTGTCTGCCCCTCAACACACAGCAATCTGATGGAAACAATTACTCCCTTGAGGTTCCCTCTTCCCAGAGGTTATGTCATGTGTACAAAAGCCAAGCAGCACAATGATGTACTGAAAGTTGCAGGATGCCTGTCACTCTGTAGCACTCGTCTGAAATGCGCAACCTCTCTTCAATCGTGAGAAAACATTTTATAAACAGAAGTAGAGGGACATTCTACGAGTGAACTGAATGACCAGTTCACTTTGAGTGTGAAGGGCACAAGAACCTGCAAACATTTTTTTTTTCTTATCAATGGTTACAGAATGGAGAGCATCAAAGAAATAACGGCTTTATAATGTGTCGTGGGATCCTAGATTAGGTCTTGGAAAAGAAACCGGAACTAAGCAGAAGCGGCGCTGACGCTTGGTGCAGGTCTACCGCTTAGCTAACGGCATTGTACCTATGTTGATTTCCTGGTTTTGTTCATTGTACCGGGGTTATGTAAGAGTGACACATGAGCGGCAGTTGGGTAAAGGGCGCACAGGAACAGAAGGCGCTATTTTTACAGTTTCTGTTGGTCTAAAATTAGTTCAGAATTAGAATGAAATAACAGACAAAAACACTTGAAAGGACTCTACAAGTGAGCCAGTGTGAAGAAGACACGGAGCCCAGGAGGGAGAAGAAAGAACAGGAACGACAGTATAGTCACAAAGGAACAGGAAGCAGACAGCCAGGAGCTAACACATTAAAAATGAAAACGTTCCACCTTGTAACTTAAAGAAATCCAAACTAAAACAAGGATTCTGCCTGGTCTTCAAGCAGACACATCTGATCCTGTACACCAGTCCGCAGAGGAGAACGCAAGAAGCAAAAACACAAGGCCACTGTAAGGGGAGGGAAAACTGGTACAGGCCTCTTGGAGAGAAATTTTCAAAGTTTAAGTGTATGCATCCTTGACAAAGGTTTTCCCTTATAAAAGCTCATTCTAATGAAATAAAAAGACAAAACATACAAAGGCTATTGATTGAAATGTCATAATCCTGAAATTTTTCAAATAATCTACATGCTCATCAATGGAGAAAGGGTAACTATAATGCATCCTGTATCCATATGTGAAAATATCATTCAATAATGTTAAAATAGTATATACTTTTACAGTTTTGAATATATGTGATTATTATGAGGGATATGAAAGACCATTCATAATAAACATCAATTACAGCACAAAATATGGTAGAAAATATTTATGATTATGTATAATTTTTTTAATATGAGGAGAAAATATAACTTTGATTTATTATATTCTTATTTTCTAACTTCTAAGTTCTAAAATTAACACATATTTTCTTTTAATAATAAAAAGGATAATATTCTTCTCATTTAATTTTTGAAAAATTGATATCTCATTAAGATTTCATTTGTTTTTCAGGGATCCAAAATTCCGGGATGATTGTCTCTGCAGTCCTAGACAGTGGGAAAACTCCATAGCTGCACGTTCAGGACCCGCCACTAGGTGGTACACTGCTTTTCCAATGTTCCTTTCGGACATTTTAAGCTTAGTGAGCTACGCTTAACTGCGGTGACCCCAGGCAATATCCCAGCCCTGCGTTTGTTTTTCCTTCACGTAAAAATCGTTCGCATTCCCTGAATAGTTATTAACTTAATAGCCTTTCTTTTTTTAAAGTTTTCTTACAGTAGGCACTGAAACGTCCTGTATATGTAAGAGACAAAAATCGAAGTGGTAAAAGCCTGGTCAGTTGACAGTTTTGCATTTTGTCAACTTCCTAAACAAATTAAAACCGGTTTTCATGAAGCCGATTATTTCTCTATATTGCACGTCTTCAAAAGAAAAAGGGAAGGCTTGGCATTCTCCAAGCATATTTGAATCTCTAAGTGTTATTAATTATACATATATTTTACCTGTGGATTATTTGACTCTTAGAAGGAATGACAGTCCAAAGAATACGACCTAAGAAACACTGACATCGACACCTTTGTTCCCAACTACATATGTCATCTGTCCAGTGTCCATATAGCCCAGAGCCACTAAATCACAGGTTGTCGATTGCTATTATGTAACCAGCATGGCCCTGAAATCTGTGGACGAATTTCCTGTACCTGAAGCCTTCTTCTCTGAGCTGTGCTAGTCTTAAGACAGGGGACTTAAGTAGATCCTCTCCTATTGGTGTCTGATTGCCCTCTGAACGAAACCCAATACAAGCAAGTACAAGAAGGTGCTTAGTCTCCCGGCCCCAGTTCATGTGAGATAATAGAGTTTCATATCCTTCAGGAAATCTGCTAAATATAGCAGCGTGGATTAACTCTAAGTTCATCAAGGAAAACTTTGGAAACAGAAACCCAGTACAGATCACCTCAGTCTCCCAGTAAATA